AGGCTGAGTTACTTGCTCAAAGTCACACAATTAATGTGGCAAGTTGTTTTTTTACCAAATATTCTACATGCTCCCCTACATTTCCTCATTTTCCTTGCAGTTGAAACTGTTGAACTAATTCCTAATTCTGGCCAATGAACTGTTGGGAACATGGCATGTGTCACCTCCTGGTGGAGGCATTCAAGAGCTAGTGTCCCTCCTTTCCTGTTTTGTATTCTGCCATCTGAAACATGTGGCCCCGAAGGGGAGGTTAGCAAGAGTTCTGTCTAACCTGAAGTGGCCTTCACACATGGATGCATAAATCTTTGCTGTATCTAAATCACTGAAAATTTCAGTTTTGTTGTCAGATTATTCTGATTAGTATGGGCTCAGTGTTGACATTGACAGCTCTTTGTATACTGAATGTTTTATCTGGGACCCCAGGATCCCTAAATGTGAGCACACTCCAGGTACAGTCTAGCTCAGGCATGGCCTCAGCACTGCCAACAGGCTGAGCCCAGATAATGCCAGGCACGGTGGCTGTGAAAATTGAATGGCCAGTGCCCTGAGAACCATCTGAAGTCTTGAAAGCTCTAACAATAATAGCAGCAGCAGTGACTGTTCTCTACAACTTGGTCAAGGTTCATTCTATGACAAGAGCCATTTGCTTTCTAGCTCTGTCCTTTGTATAAAGGTATGTTTTCAAGCATGGTCAGGATGAGGAAACTATGCTTTTAGAGGTTTATGAGCTGCATTCATGAATTGAATAAAACATTTTTTAGAATATTATTAAAACACACCTACTCAAACACTTAACTTCTATTGACTCATTTAATGGATGGGGGATGTAGTTTATGCACACAATGGCTGCTATGGTCTGAATGTTTGTGTCCTCTCTTTCGCTCTCTCTCTCTCTATATAAACCTAATTCCCAATGTGATGATATTAAGAGGTGGGGCCTCTGGGAGGTAAGTCAAGAGGGCAGAGCCCTCATGAAAGGGATTAGTGTCCTTATAAAAGAGGCTACAGAGAGGCCCCTTATGCCTTCTGCCCCGTGAGGATTCAGTAAGAAGGTGCCTTCTATGAACCAGGAAGCTGGCCCTTATCAGACAATGAATCTGCTGGCACCTTGATCTTGGACTTCCCAGCCTCCAGCCTATGAGAAATAAATTTCTGTTATGTATGACTTACCCAGTCTGTGATCTGTTATAGCAGCTGGAGCAGCATAGGCAATGGTATATGGATTTGTGTGTCCCACCAAATAATAAAAGGTGCATTGTCTAACTTGCATTTATATGTGAAAAATATGACTGTTTGTATTTTTCTAGGCATATTAAACAGAATAGAGTAGCAAAATTGACTTAAGAATAGAAAATCTGAAAAAAATGTATAGTCAGTATAGAAATCAAATCAGCATTTGAGACTTTCCCACTCCCCCCACCTTCCTGAACCCAGTCCTGTCTCTCCTTCTCTGCTAAAGACATGCCTCCAAGGTGTTGCTATTGGTGAGATGCATACCACTTCAAGGACCAACTGATCTCTATTCTCTGAAACATCTGCACTGAATAGAGAAAGAGAGAAAGCAATTCAACTCACTCTGTGAGAAAGTATAATCTTGAAAATAAAACAGTATAAGGACAGTTTTAAAAGAGGAAATTACAGACCAATATCATGTACATAAAATTTTCTAATGTTAGATGTGCAAACTCAGCAGTACTATATATGCATATAAATAGATCATGCAAAGTAGGGTTTATCCCAGGAATATAAAGAGAATTCAACATGAGAAGGAATCTATTCAAATAATACACTGCATTAGGATCTAAAAAGAAAAAGTCACTTAAAAAGTTATATAAACTTAATAGATGCAGTTACGAAAAAATTTAACACTAGCTGCAATGGCTCATGCCTGCAATTCCAGCAGTTTGGGAGGCTGAGGTGGGAGGATCGCTTGAGGCCAGGAGTTCAAGACCATCCTGAGCAACATAGTGAGACAAAAAATTTTTAAAAATGTGGCTATAATTGGCTCACACTATATTTCTGTTGGATAGCGTTGCCCTAGACTAAGTCTAAAATCCTTAGCATGGCATCTCATCCCAACTATGTCTTATGGATGTCAGAACCTTAAGAAAGCAACTCATTCCAAGTGTAGCTGTGGCAGCAAAGGACTCCACATATTGCTAAACAAAGGGCTTTACAGGTACAAGGGGTAATATGGTGCTCCCGCCAAAACACTGTCCGGGACATCATTCACCCTCTTGTAAACCTGGTAAATCAGGTGTTAGTAATCTTCCTGAGCTTTAGTTTTCTTAATATGTTTCCTATAATATAGTGTGGATCAATGACTGCAACTTCCTAGATGCATGGCTTTGAAGTCAATTTCTGCTCATGTTCCCTATTGACCACACTATAGCCACCCCTGGTAGTCCATGCCTAACACAGATCCCGTTCAGGTTCCTACTGCCTTATTTATTTCTGCTTTCCCACAGAAAGAGAAAGCGACCCAACTCAGTCTATGAGAACAGTATAATCTTGAAAAGAAATTAGTCTGTCAAAGGTGACAGACTAATCCTACAGGATTCAAGGATAATGACTCACTTTAACTCAGAAAATAAATTGATCAAACTGCTGAACTTAAGCAACTCACATCTCTTTTCCATAGGCTCTGCCAGTATTTATTTCAAGTTCTATTCTCTTCCTTTTCAAATTGTTGGTCCCTGGGAATGAACTGAGGAAATTAAGTGTACTCTTTAAATATCTTCATACTCCTTCCTCCCAAATACATGTGAAATTGGGTGCAAAAGATCAACTGCATTTGGAGAGATGAAATCAACAATGTAGCTTCACTCACACTTCCATCCAGGGGCTCATCACTGCTTGGGAACTTTCCACCCAAGCCCCGCTCCTACCTGAGAGCTAGACTTGGAAGTGCCCACGTACATTCTCTGCAGAGGCCACTGCAGTCCAAACTATAAGCCAAAGCAAAACAAAAAAGTAACCTGGTCTCTTACCAGGGTCTGCATGATTAACTAGCAGTTAATCTAATTCAGAATACACCTTGGTAGAATTCAAAACGCGTTACATAGAATGATGCCTTTACTCAAGGTGATTCACAAATGTATCATACAAGATAGGCTGTGTAATGAATAGCCACCTTGCTTAACATTTGAAATGAAAGGGCAGAGAAAATTTTACAGTTGCTTTATTTAACAAAATTTACGCCAAGTTCTATATCGATATACAAATGTGTTTCAAAATAAGAGCAGCAGACACACAAACTGTTAACACAGGAATTATAATGCTTAAAACATGGTACACAAAGTTTTGTTTTCTGCTCATATAGACATTTACCGGTTTAAAAATTATTTCGAAGGCCAAGCAGCATCACACCTTCATTTTCTGGGATGGCTTATATATGTCCTAAAGAAAGAGGGATGGACCTTTTGAGACTTAATGTATTCAGTTTAGTTCAACAAACAGCACTTGGCCCAATAGGGACTTACAAAATGTTTTGGACTGGGGATAAAAATTTGATTAAAATATAATCTATCAGAGTATGTTTTGAGTCAGTGGTTTCTTTTTAAATTTTTTAGTCTATTTGTCCATATCATAAATGTAACAAGTTCACTTCTAATCTCCCCCCAAAAAATCTACTTAAAAAAAGAAGTTCAAAATAATTTTATTAGTAGTACTAACAAAACAGTGACCGGAAGTCCTTCAAGATCAAGGTAAAAGCACACAAATACTCAACACAGCTCTGCCCCTACCCCCTCAAATTTTGTTAGAAATGTCATTATTTCATAACATTTACTTACATGTTAAGCTATTTTCTAAAGCTCTTTATTCAGGGAAGACAGCTACTTTTTGCTTTCCCATTTTTATGACTTCCAGGGACAATTTTAATTCCTTAAAAGGTATGATAGTTCTGAAAATCCCAAAAAACTTCGCTACATATTCTACTCACAAAATTAACCTCTGAAGTATATAAGTTGTGTTTTAGATAATACATGAAAAATGGTTGATGCGCAAAGTGTAAATATCTCATGTTGACACTTAACATTGACCTGATTCATGGCCAATTCTCAGTCTAGCTTTTCAGGAAAAAGCTACTAAGTGGTGAGGTATAGAAGGAGAAAAAAGTATTAAAAAAAAATCAAAAAATTAAAAATGAAACATCACAGCTTTTTCTTCTTCTCTCCTCTTCTCCACATCTTGGGAGCTTTCTTTCATGCTGGAAGAGTACAGATCTGTAACATGGATAAAACTTCAGAATGCTCCTTTATGTAGTGAAATGGCATCCAAGATCCATTTCCCAAAAAGCACCAAATAAAAATGCACAAAGACTAAATGCCGTAATAAAATGATCCACAGGGGTTTTTATTCCTGTTTGTTCACACGAAGCAGACCCCATCACTTACTGTGCTTTCATTTTCTAAGAATGAAATCAGACGATTATAAAAATGTGCTTCCAAAATAATTTCTAGAATATAAAAATGTTTTACATTTTTCTAGCCCACGTATTGTTATAAAATAGGAAGCCAGAAAATTAGCTACTGCAATTTTCATATGGTAAAAAATATTTATGTGTACACATACATATATACACATATATAAAAATCCAAGTTTTAAATTTCAATAAAAATTAACCAACTTAATGATCATGTATTGAATTATACATAAGAAATGTTGATTATCTGTAATGAGAAATGACTACAAAGGGTTACAATTCCATCGACCAGAGGATAAATCTAAGACCTTCCCATATGGAAAAAAGTCAGGAAGTTTCCAACTGCCTACTCAGTAAGAGAAATCACTGGTGTCTTTTTTTCAGATGTAACAGCCCCCAGTTTCATTCACTGCACCCCGTTAAGACCCCTAAGGCAGGAACAGTCCCTGAAGGGAGGAAAAGAGTTGGGCTGCCTTGTGGCTGTGCTATCTGTGTTCTGCATGAAGGCTGGTGCCTGGATACTTGGGCAAGTGAGGACTAAAATCCAATCTTGAGCTGCATTTGCCAAGCCATTACCTGCCCCCAAAGCTGTGCCTGTGCAGGGGTGGGCTTTTTTCTAAAGTACACAAAGGTGCTGTTTCAAGAGGGAAAACCTTAAGGAGCTTCAACACCACAGAAGGGAAGGGATTGAAATGAGCAGGGAAGCTGTCCTAGTGCACAAGAGAGCCTGTTCAGAAGAAAACGGCAAAAGGAGCTAGGACCTGCCCTGGGGAGCAGCGTCTGTGACCCACAGTGATCAAGAAGAACAGGCAGCATCCCTCTAGTCTCCGGATGATGAGTCTCGAATGAAAACAAGTCACATGAAACTCCTTTCACAACTTTCATTACAAGCCCACCTTGAATTGTCTTCCCCAGTTTATCTATGTTGTAAGATGCCTGTTTCCTCACATTTTAAATTGGTCACTTGATTTATGGTTTTGGGAGAGCTAAGGACAAAGAGAAGACTTAATTTTAGATATTTTTTTACTATAACCATCTTTTTTTTGCCCCAAAAGGCATGTTCTCTACCCAATTGTCATAAATCAAGGTATTTTAAAACAGAGTAAAGGTAAATACTTGAAAATGCTTTCTTTCTTCTCCTAACACCTGTTGTTGAAGAAGTTCAGGCAAGCCCTTGGAAACATTCTTTAAAACAGCCAAGAAAAGCAAAACTCTCTGTGCTATGTGGAACACTTACGAGTATTATAGAGCAAGGGACAGACGAAAAAGAATGGCCATTTTTCTATAACCAAATTTAAGATAGTTAATAAAGTAAAAAATATAATCTCCATTATGTATCAAATGTCCAGGAGACAAGTTAAAGCAAAAACAAAGTGGATGTGCACACCAACACATAGGTTTAATCCTTCAGTAGCATTAATATAAAGAGTATGTGTAAAACATTCTCAATTTGCCCCTCTGATGGATGACAAGAGATTTCTATCTACTCAGAAAAAGGGGTGCTACACAAAGAGAGGTCTCAGATCCCACTGAAAATCTGTTAAAACTTTCACTTCCTCTCTTCAGATAAATGCAAATACATCAACTTTTGTGTACAATTTCAGGAACATCAAATACATTCGAGGGTCCAGTCACATATCTCAGGTTCAGACCCCTGGCTCTCAATATTCTTACAGGGGATTTAAAGAATTAGTGATCCTCTCATTTCTACAGTCTATATTTCTCCTATTGAATCTGGAGAGGGGTGGTGGGGGGCAGCCCAAATCAGAATAAACTAAAAGAAAAATAACTTGCTTCAAAGAACAATTTTTTAACTTATTTGCCCTTGGAAGAAAGCACATCCCAGTCTCTAGTTGCTTCTATTAAATGCCGCTGACCATGACTCATCCACTCTTCCTGGTCTTCATATAGCCTCCCACAAAACCAGCACTTAAATATACACTGTGATGAATCATCAGGCAAGGAATCCACCACCTGGTAGTTGTTTTTATGAACTTTTTTAAGTTTCATTTTCAACATCATTTGTCTTTTAATTTGGTTGGCTTCCTCCAAATTCTGGTAAGTGAGCCGGACATGGTGCCGTCTGATGCCAAGCTGACACCTAGTCCTCTCTGATAAAACAACTTTGAGGACATTGCCTTTATATTTATTTATTACCTTCATCACATTGGTCACTTCTGGTGAGTCAACATCAGGATGGTTTAACACAATGACTGGCTGGTTCCGACGGGGGCATTTAATCAATTGGTCTGGTTTAGCTGCTATTAATCGAAGTTGTCTTGCAACCTGAAAAATTGAAGGATCCTTGAGACAGCGGCTCGAGTCAGCCTGAATCTTGTTTTTCTTCTTGGATAAGTTTACTTGTTTGGTTTTATTTCTACTTATAGAAAGATTTCTGGAAAGTAGTTTCCCTTGCCTACCCAATTCACTGTTTCCTTGCTGTCCATACAGGAGGCCAGTTTTTTTAGGGGTGATGCTACAGATGGCACTCTCTTTTCTTGGTTTAGGCCGAAAAGATGTCTCAAGATTTTGGGACATGTCTATTGGCCTACTTTCGCTTCTCAAAGGCTGTATGTCTGAGTCTGTCTGTTTCACAGGGCAGAATGGAAGTGGTTTTATTAACTGTGTTTTATTGCAAGGTATGTTGACAGGTGCTTCACATGTGGCCTCTATGATGTGGGCATCCTCAGAGGAATTGAGAACCCTCAACACAGCTCCTTTTGGGATCAACACTGGAGCAGCAACATGGGGCTTCCTGGTCACTCTACTTTCAGTTTTTCCATCAATGCCATCTACAAACTGTGGATACATTTGCTGATGAGTGAGGTGTCCATTACTGGTAATACCACCATCATTCTGAGGTTTCTGGAGAGTACTCATGGAATGACCATGGCCAGTGAATGACACATTAATTTTGTGAATACCTTCAGGAGTAGCTTTTGAAGTTACCTTTGATGCCTGTCCCACAGAACGACGACGTGCACTGTTTGCAGCCAAAGATGAAGGCTTGCCACAGGATTCAATTAACTGAGCTATTTTTCTGCGCAAGAGTTCAATTGACTTTATTTTAGATGTTGAACTATTCCATTTAACGCCCTCAGGGACATTTTCAGATCCAGAACTTAGAGAAAATACTGATGAGATGACAGGGCCATCAAAAGTGTCATTAGTCTTTTCGGAACTCTTTAATTCCAAAGGCTTATCCCCAGACTGTTGAGATCTAATTCTGTCTTCTCCAGTCATATTTAGGGGTAAATACTTGCTTTTATGTTGAGAGGACATCTGGCCTATATTTGAAACTGCCTTGTGTTCCTCTGTCTGGTTATCTTCCAGCTTCCCATTAGAGGAAACCATTTTTATAGGAAAACTGATCTTACTTCTAGATTCCAAGTCATTTTCACTTATGGGCAATAAGCCCTTTTCTCCAGAGAAGGAAATGGTTGCAGGTGATGCAGCAAGAGGGAGTAAGTGCTGTGAATCACTGGGTAAACTTCTTCCATCTTCAGCAAAACAAACAGCAGCTTTATATGGAAAAGGGTTTGACGCACTTCCAAGACCACATAAAACACTGTTTTTTAATACAGATGCTGGTGAACGACCTTTTAAGGCAACGGAAGGAAGAGAAGTTCTATGTGGATATAAATTATATTTTTTCTGTAAATCCTCAACTTTTTCAGAATTGAGAAAGCATTCTCCATGTTTACGAACATTAGAGTTTGACATGAAAAAATCATAAGACCTTACCCATTTCACATTTTTAAATTGTTTCTGAACTGAAGACTGAAGACTATCAATGCCTACAAGTTTTCCAACATTCCCTTCAATTGTCAGTGACTTTGTTTTTTCTGCAGAAACTATTTTTTCTTGTTCATTTGAATGCTTCTCTTTAGTCATATGCTCAAAATTATCTCCATCACCCCTGCCGGCTTCACGGCAATTTTCTTCCAGTGGAAACAGTTTCAGAACCACCTGCTGTGTACCATTGACAACCTTCACATCTATCAACTGGGCTAAACAGTTTGCAGGGACAACTAGTTCTGCTGGTGCCACAACTGTTAATGGCATACCTGGCTGAACTGGTTCTTTTGCAGGAGATAACACTTCCACCTCAACATTTTTGTTTTCAAACAGGTTGACTTCATTTTGCCCAGACGGGGCCATTTTATTTGGGATGCACACTACATCTTTTTGGCATTCCTTTGGTTCAGGTAACAACATGATATTGTGCATTTTGTCTTTATTTGCATGGAGAGAGAACCTTGAAAGTTGATCTGACAACTTATTTTGAAATGCAGTCCTTGGATTAGAAACCTTCAAAAGCTCTGTGTTTTGTTTTGAAGTGCTGGCTCTTTTCGGCTCCGGCTTGGCAGTAGTTTTGAGTGGCCGTTTTGCACCAGCCCTCTCGTGGACTCTCTTCCTGTGTTTGACAATATAATCATTTCTAATAGCACCATAGTCACAATATTCACACTGATAAGGGAATACGCCTGTGTGTTTCACCAAATGCCTCTGAAACTCTCCTTTTGTATATGAAATGTAGCTGCAGTGAGAACAAATAAATTTAATTTCTTCATGTTGAAGTGTGTGTTTTTTGTACTGCAGAGGATCCTTTGTGGAAAATCGACATTTATCACAATAATATTTGCCTGGCTTAAAGTTCCTTACCTTAAATTTGTTATTGACAGAACTTGAGACGGTTTCAGTTTTATTTCCGACATGAGTAGCACTGGGATTACTGTTCACAAAATGGAAATTGGGAGGAGCAACACCAAGTTTGCATTTGAAGCAAACATATATGTCTTCCTTCTGGCTTTGCCCTATCCCCTTTTTCAAATCTCGAAGAGGGATTTTGTGAACACTTTTGCACTTCACACATGTAGCAATGGTCATCATGGCAGTCTCTGCCTCTGAGCCTTGACACAAAAGAGTTTGCACTTCCTGTCTATCTGGTCGAGTTGCTCCATTAGCATCAGGTTGTTTGGGTGACATGGTCAAGGAATTATGTCCACCATTCACTTGTGTAGTATATAACTGCTGTCCAATATCCTTCATCTTCTTTATGTGCATTTCTAAAAAGAGCTGACTGAAATTCAGACGATTTCACAAGATAAAATCCTTAGGAGGCATCCTTCAATAGTTTGTGATTGGTAGAGGAGCAGCTACTTCCTGGGAATACACTTAATTATCTTTTTTTATATACTGCCGCAGTAGATGCAGGATCACAAAATATGATTGCTTTCAATTTTCTGATATTCCCGGCAACACTAAAGGAAAAACAAATCATAAAGGATGATTAATACAAGAATTTAAGGCTTAGTTAAGCTATTACCCTATATTTTAATGGCCTTGAAAATTTTATGTGAACTCCAACATATGAACTTGGATATCTATGTTACAGTAACACATAACACAACAGAGTTGGCAAAAAAGCCTAAATTAAAAACATTTTCAAACTCAGCACCCTAAAAATCATCACTTTAGACCAATAATGAACATACATATACCAGGAACAAGGACATGACAGCAACCATTCAGAATAGCCTTTGATCAGTCAAAGTTAAATTTTTAAGGGTCAGTGAGCACATCCTAGCAATTTCAGAGATATAATTTCCTATTAAGTTCATAAAAATCTTGTACAGAACACTGTCAGTTTAGTTTTTGAATACATTAGTTATCAAGTTGTAGAGCTAGGGCTTCAGCCCAGGTGTTCACATTTATTTCTACACTATAGCTTATTATCAGCTTGGATACCGATTCTTTCACTCACACACTAGACTTGCTCTCACAAGTGATAAGAAGCCCAAAATACTCACAGTATTAGGAAGACAAATAATTATTCCTTCAACATTTTACGGGCATCTATCATTTGCCAGGCTTTAGTCTAAGTGCTGCAGGGCAGGGAACAAAAGTACAGATTATATATTTATCAAATTGTGGTAAGATAACTGGAGTAAAATACCACAAAAGAAGGCAAGGGGGAGAGGGGATGCCTCTGTGATGAGGCTGCAGGGCTGGGTATGGAGGAGAGGACGGTCAGGAAATGCCTCACTTCAAGTTGCTGTTTGAGTGGAGACCTGGGGACGGCCAGAGAGTGAGAGCTGTGGCTGTCTGGGAAAGGCCTGTTTCAAGCAGAGAAAAGGTCTGGGAAGTAGGTGCATATGAGGAAAGTGAGGCGGCTCCAAGTCTGGAGGAAACAAGCAAAGGAGTGTGTTGGGGGGAAGCAGACACAGTCAAGGGAAGATCTACAACACTATATCCTCAGGACATGGTAGAAGGGGCAGCCACTTGACCTCCCCTAATTTATATCCCAACAACAGCCTCTAGCTGCTGTGAGGACTAGAGTCTACAAGGGGCAAAACGATGGCAGCAGGGAGACCACAAATGGCTTGGACTGGGGCAGAAGAGGTGACAAAACATTTTCTAGAGCAAGTAAGTTCTCTAATACGCACACATGCATGTAACATAGTGACTAATTTTTATACAATCTTTAAAGATAATTTTTTAAAGAACATAAAGAACTAGGAGACAAACAAAAACAATTCTAGTATGGAAACTGCTAAAAGCCTTTCTATCATGACCTCTAAAAGGCCACTTAAATCTTCTGAGCCTTCATTTTTCCATCTGGCAATTAGAACCAGGGCCACTTACCCAACCTCTCCACGACGATTAGAGTAAGGAGATACTTTTGAGAGTCCCAATGCTTCTCTGAGTGTAGGAAGCACACAGAGGCACTCAGTCAGTGTTTGTCAGTGATAGGCAGCAACATGAAAGAAAACTGGCAGCTGCTTTCTGGCACAGTGCTAAGAGACCAAGAGCCACACAAAGTGAGTGTGAAAGGCTGACTTAGGGATTGGAAAGGCCGCTCCATGGGGTCTGGAGAAACAACAGCCACATATTCTGATCTGGCCTAAAACCTGCCTTTCAAAAGCAGCTTTGGAAAACACCAAAAGAACACATCACATCTGATGATAAGCTGCAGTATTGTCTTTTCCTATTTTGCTTTTGTGAAAATAGTTACCTTCTTTCAAACCCAGCCATCTGGCAGCTAGGGCCACAGTCAGTCTTGCCCTACCATAAGTGTGCATATAATACTTAGACATCAAGCAGATGGAGGCCTGTGGGGTCGCAAGGGGCTGTCTATTCCTTCAATGTTCAAACACATACCTAGGCAAGGGACAGTGATTTTGGATAGGACACATGAATGCCTTAAACTGGCAAACGCATAAGCATGGGCAAAGACAAGGGCTTTCACATTCCACTGTACTTCTGGTATAGACAACGGATAGAACTTTCAGAGGAGTCACTAGAAGTTGACACACACTTTACTTTCCAGATTTGTAAAGAGGTTACGGAAGGGAGATAGAAGGGACACTCAGAACTCCTGCTGCTGCTCATGAAGTGAACCAAAGCAGAGCACCCATCTGCATCTGCTTGCTCATCTATTTTTCAAAAAGGCCAGCTTAGATGATTTCTAAGCCCAGCCTGACATTGCTGATCCTTGAAATCACAGACTTTACCAACTAAGAATGCTACTATCATCATCAGTCACGTAGGCATTTTCATCCAGGTAAAAAAAGGCCATAGCCCCAACCAGAGCCTAAGAAAACGACAGGCTCAAAGAACATAAGAGGCTTAGGTAGGTAATAAGGGGGAACTGGTTCAATGGTCCTGAATCTGGAGGAGCCTCAGAATCACAGCTAAAAGGGACACTCCTAGGCCTCATCCCAAAGCTAGTGAATCAAAGTCTCAGAAGAGGGGAAAGGAGATGAGACTATTGTGGTTTGTAAAAGCACCCCAGGCTATCCTGATGAAAAGCCAGCATTCAAAATCACTGGTTGAAGCTTCTAGCAACATTTAAATCCTTAAAACATCCTTACCAATTGACCATGCTGTTGATGGTTCTAATGTTGCCATAAGCAGAAAATCTCTTCCCTCTACAGGCAGCTAATTCTATTTCCACATAGTTCTCATTATAACCAATTTACCCACAAATGAAATTGAAATCAGCTTCCCTATAACTTTCTTTCTTCTGGAGCTACAAAAAACAACTTAATTTTTCTTGACAGATCAGTTATTAATCTGCACATCTGTTCTCTCATCCAGTCCTTAGTTTTCAATTCTGTTCAAAAGATTTGCATACCAGTCAATATGTATGCCATGCTCTGATCTACCGGCCTCATAATCCCACCAGTGTGTGTGTGTGCATGTATTTGAGAGAGAGAGAGAGAAACTAACTTAATTGCCTGGCACAACTTGCTGCCAGATTGTTTCAACACCTTATATATTAACTCTAAGAAATTCTCAAATAAATCATGGGACAAGATTCCTCTATTTGAAGAATCATTCAAACCAGGATTCTACTGGCACATTTTCATTTTTCATCCTATTTCCCAGTCTCTAAGAATTCTTTAAAAATCACAGAATGCAGTTTTGCCATTTTCTAAGTCCTTTTAAAAATTGAGGGGCGTCATTCTTTCTAAAACTGAAGACTTGAAAGTCTAAGATAGACTTGACAGTAAGATCATGTCCATCAGCAAGAAGTGGAGCAAAGTCCCTGGAGAATTAACCAAGCCAGCCAGAGTGCCTGAGGAAGGAGAGTCCCCTTGGAGGAGCCTCTGCAAAACTTTCTCAGTAGTTATTTCAAATTAAGAATCCATAGGAACAAGTCCCCATATGAAGCATAAGGCTGTGATTAGCAAGTACAGTTTATGGGGAAGGCAGGACATCCAGGCCATGAATGAATTATGTCACTTGGGTTTGAAAATATCTTCTTGGCTATTCTCAAAATAATGTAATGTGACTACATTGCCACTTCCCTCAGTCTAGGTGAAAAAAATGTGAGGTTTCTTCAAAACAAGTAGGCGATGTTCTCTTTGGCCTTTGCAACCTGTGTGGCTACTGACAGGGGGAAGATATCTCAGATGTAACACTCCAGGACAAAGGTAACAGATGCAGCGATGTGGAAGAACGAAGATGATGTTGATGTTGGTATTTACACATGGACACTCACTCCTGAGGGTGCAGCAGGCACATCTGAGTAATGGGCTCCCAAGTCACTGTTCCTTCCATACAACTTTCTCCATATGGTTGACATCCAAGTACAACCACCTATGAAGCCAAGACCTCTTGGCAAGTCACTGCCCAGTGGGTGGATGAACAAGGATTACAAGACACTGTAGATAAAGGTCTGTGCACAAGTGCAACTGATGCTGTGAGGGCCTCCAATAAATCACTATCAACATCAGGGCCAGTGTTCACCTGCTTTCCAAACTTGCAATGCTAGTATTACAAAAGCTTCTGCATTTGACCTCCTAGGACTAGAAACACACATTCCTTCAGATAATTTAGGAGGGCTCTCGAAAACACAGAAAATAATATTATTAACTTTATGGCACAATAAATAAGATGTCCATTTAATATTAATTTGTCTGTTTTCCAAAAATTATTTAACAGCATAGAGTTTTTTAATGTAGAATTATCTACAGCATCAGCCACAGATGATTGCCACGCACCAAAGCAAAGTGGCACAGTATGTTGCAGATGCGTTCTCTGGACTGAGTCTTGTTCTTGTCTTTTTTCAAAAGAAAGGCCAGGACAAAGGCCTAACTGCATTCACTGTTGGTGGGTTTTGTTTTTAATTTTGAGCTCACTGCCCTGATTTCTTAAAGACTTATTATGGGGGCATAAGGGGAAAAAATACTGAGTTTGGAAGAAACCAGGTCAGTCAGATTGAAGGCTATAAAAAACACGAATGATTGTTTAAGTGCCTATTAAAAAGGAACCATTTGACTTCTAAACACTGGAAATATCCAATGTCAATAGAATTAGAAGAGAAATAAGTGGAAAAATAATTTTTAAAGCTAGAGATTCTGGAATCAGATTATAAGGTTGAAAATCCCAGTTATATCACTTTCTAGGTATTTGATCTGGGGGCAAACTGATTCCTCACCTGTAAAATGAGACAGTAACAGTACCTACCCCAGTTATCATGAGGATTCAATGGGATAATGTAAGAGTGCTTTTAGATAAGTTACTGACATATCTGTTAAAAATATTATTTTCCATTTGTTAATGAAGAAATTATACCAATCACATACTCAGAGGGGCTAAAATACAGGATTCATAGCTGCCTGACTCTGGAAACGGCTCTTTCCACAACATACACTAAATTTCATTTTATAATTTTAATCACATTTGTTTGGCTGTACAGCC